TACTACTGAGTTTGAATTGCTTAAGGCCTTCCCTGCGCCTGTCGCGCCCTCTGGTGGGAAGGAGCTGTCCTGCCGCCAGATGGTCCTGAGAGGCTTTATTTACATAACCACCTTTTTATCTTGCTTCCCCCAGCCGGCTTCACCCCACAGGAAAGATCCCTTCCCTCTTAGGTCGACGAAGAGCCTAAAAGGAATGCTTTCACTCTCCATTCATGGACTAATGGTTTAGGCCACTTTGAAAAACGTTCTTGACTTAACAGCCTCATAGCATGTGTAAGGTCTTCTTAGAAAACGTGAATTCTCCACATGCTCATTTGCCTGGCACTGTTAGGAACAAAGCCCATGTGGTTTCCCCTAGGAATCCATGTGCTGTATTTAACCAGTGTAGTCTTGGAACCATGGTTTGGACTAAGCTGGCATCCGACCTCCGCTGCCAGTCTGCCTTGTTCTTGGGTTAGGAATCACATATCTTCTCTCTGTGTTCTTGGCCTTCCCATGGTATTGATTTCCTGGCAAACATGACTTTATTTGCTTTTCTGTTTTGATATGATAACCAGCTATGGTGTAGCTCACTCACTGGGCCAGTCTGGCTGTCGGTCATTTGACAAACATCTGAATGTTCCTAGCACATTGCTACTGATGAGAATCCAGGCGAGCCAAGCAAGACCCATAGAACAGACATCCACTGACGGTGGTGAGGCAGGCTAGTTGGATGCCACAGCCGCTATTGCACAGGACACCCTGGGCCACTCCCAAAGAGGAAGTAAGGTTGTTGCCGTGGTTGGGGTTGGGGTTGGGTCCTGTGGGGACCGGCAGCCCACAAGAGATTTCTGGTTTTATTCTAGTGCCCACATGAACTAATGAGAACATTGGGTAAAGACCAGTGTATGTCTCAGAGTTTTGTGGGGTGGGGATGGGTGGTTGGGGGGGGGGTGCATGTGTGTGTATGTGCATATGTGTGCATGTGTGTGCCTATGCATGGACAAGACAGAAGACAGTTTGGGGTGGCATTCCTCAAGAGACACTGTCCACCTTGTTTTTGTTTCTTCTGAAATGGAGTTAGTTCCTCATAGCTCACCCAAGTAGGCTAGGCTGGCTGGCCAACAAGCTCCGGAGATCCTCCTGCCTCTGCCTCCCTAGTATTGGGAGTACATCATCATGCCTGACTTTTCTTACATGGGCTCAAACTCAGGTCCTAGCACATACAGAGCAAGCACTTCATAAACAGATACATCTCCCCGGACTCAGAACTTTTTAAAGGCCCCACCTCCCGCCTGTGTGTACAAGGTGGAGAGAGAGCAAGGAAGAAGAAACAGGAGATCACCCAGGGCTACTGAGCTGCTGGTGGTGCCTGTGGGGGTACACTGGGGCAATCCAGTGACAACTTGGTGCCGCCTCCTTCTCTGTTAACAGCAGGCCACTCTCAGCCACAGAACTCAGAAGACAGTGCTGTGATCAAGTTCAGAAAGTCAGTCATTAGTCAGGTAGGACCCCAAAGTGGGACTCTGCTTTTTTTTTGTGACTCGGTCTCATATGATCTGCACCCCCTGTGAGGCATCCTGAGCTCCTCTTCCATCTTGTTCACTTGGAACAGCAAGGAAAACATCGTTAGGAACTGGCCCTGCATCTTCCAACGAGGCCCCTTCGGAAGGCTATGTAGCCAAGATGGTTACAAATTTCAAATCCCAGGTCATTATTAGAATTTTCCTTTTGTATGGCTTTAGCACCCCACCCCTAGTGTGTGTGTGTGTGTGTGTGTGTGTGTGTGTGTGTGTGTGTGTGTGTGTGTGCATGTGTGTGTGTGTGTGTGTGTTTCTCACTGAGCTTAGAGCTGTTTCATCTAGAATGGCTGGCCAAAGATCTCCTGGGATCCACTTGTCTCTGCCTCTCAGTGCTGGGGTTACAGATGCAGACCACCATGCCCAATTTTATGCCCAGCTGAGAGGTAAACTGAGGTCATCACACAGCAAGCTCATTCCCCACTGTCACCTCCCCAGTCCTTTTGTATCTCTTATGCCTCAAGAACAATTGTTTTATTGACACACAGCCATGTACAATGGTCTACACACCGTCTCCAGCTGCTTCCCCATTATAAGGGCAGGTTGTTAGCCATGAGACCATATGCCTATGATTTTAAAACCTTGGCCAACCGGCCTTTTGGGGAGTATTGACTGCTCCCTGTATCAGCCAGCAGGTTCACACCAGGCAATAGGAACAGTTTCAAGACTGACTCCTGAAAGTTATGGCTTGGGAAACAGTCACAGGCTGCTTGCTGGCCCCTTAGTGGTGAGCAGTGTGTGTGTGTGTGTGTGTGTGTGTGTGTGTGTGTGTGTGTGTGTGTGTGTGTGTGTGTGTGTGTCTATCTTCAGTCCAGATTGCCAGAGGCCAGCATCGCTGAGAAACATGCTATATATCCTGGTAATCTTAGTAGTTATGCTTTTGCAAGCAAAGTAGACTGATCCAAGGGTGACTGGTGGGGTGCCCATCCCAAGCTTTGCCAATCTGTCCCATCCATTTACACTAAGTGGGAGTGTTCCAGACCCCAGCTGCACAGATGGCCTTTAAGTCTTACTTATTTTTTTATTTTATGTGCATGGGTATGTCTGTTTACCACATGCATGCCTGGTGCCGTTGGAATTGGAGTTACAGATAGTTGTGAACCTCCACATGTTTGCTGGGAATTGAACTGGTGTCCTCTGGAAGAGCAGCCAGTGCTCTTAATCACTGAGCCATCTCTCGAGCCCCTGGCCTATATTTAATGAATGGGCTACGAAAGCTTTTTCTACATGTTTCTAACTTTGGAAGAAGTAGAATGAAGTTTTCCAAGATCCAGAGTTTCCTGGGGTGTCAGACAGTTTGAAGAGGCAGCCAAGAGGCCTGAAGGCGGCATTGCCAAGCAGTATGGGAGCACCTACATTCCTTTTGTTTTTTGCAGACAGGGCCTTACTCCCAGCCTAGCCTGGAACTATGTAGCTCAAGTTGGAGATTCTGCTGCCTCTGCCTCCTGAATGCTAGGATTACAGATATTAGTCACATCTGGCTACAACCTCCTAAATGCTAGAATTACAGATATTAGCCACATCTGGCTGCAACCTCCATTTCTGAGGCAAACGACTTTCAGCTAATGGCCTGTATTATGCAAGCCAGCAACTCCTCACACCAAGTCAGAGGGTCACAGGTCTCTACTAGAAACCCCAGAAGTGCCCACTAACTGGATGCCTTAGAAATAAGGTTCACAGGTAAGTATGTATGTTATCACCTGAACCAGGACTTCTGCATGTACTGTCTGAAGGTTTTATGATTAGCTTTAAAATGTTGAGTCTCTTTCCCTAGTGCTTATTTTTTTTCTCAGCCTAGTTTATGGCTTTCTAAGTAAATATATAAGAAACATAATCAATGCATTACTTTACAGAACACTTCACTTGTACCTTCTGGAATTTAAGGGTTTTACTGTATAGATACTAAACCTATTTTAAATATTTTCATACTTTGTCCTATTTACTACTCTATCTTAAGCATTTTTTTTTCTAGAGATATGTAAACAATCTTCTGTTGTTTTTCAAGACAGGGTTTCTCTGCCTAGCCCGGCTGTCTTGGAGCTTGCTCTGTGGATTAGGCTGGTCTTGAACTCAGAGAACGGCTTGCCATTGCCTCCCACTAGGATTAAAGGCATGTGCCATTACTGCCCAGGGTAAACAATCTTTAAAAAAAAAAAGATTTATTTGCAATCATCTGTACTTCTGTGTGTGGGTTTGTGCATTTGAATGCAGGTGACCTCAGAGGCTAGGAAAGGGCATCAGACAGATCCTCTGGAGGTGGAGCTTCAGGCAATTGCGAGCTCTCACAAAAATCAGGTGGGTGTGGGAAAATGACCATGCTCTTAACTGCTGAGCCATCTCCACAGCTCCTTATGTAAGCAATCTTTTCTTGTTTTTTTTTTTTTGAGACAGGGTTTCTCTGTGTAGCTTTCCTGGAACTCACTTGGTAGCCCAGGCTGGCCTCAAACTCACAGAGATCCACCTGGCTCTGCCTCCCAAGTGCTGGGATTAAAGGCGTGCACCACCACTGCCCGGCTTTCTTGGTGTTTTTGAGACAGGGTGCTACTCTTTAGCACAGGTTGGCCTGGAACTCTATTTCATATTCAGTGACTGTCATAGAAGTATATTAATAACTTGTAGTAGCAGCACCTACTAGATTCTGAACAGTAAATGTAGGTCACTTGTTTGACCCACAGCTCGTAAACTTATGTGTTCCTTGATTTGAACCACAAACAAAATGAATAAATGTCACCATACAACACAGAAGGCCCATGAAAAGCCAAAGAAGAGATTACATTATCAAGTCTATTTATTTATTGAGACAGGGTCTCTTTATGTAGCCCTGGCTGTCCTGAACTATGTGGACCAGGCTGGCCTCAGACTAATAGAGATCTGCCTGCCCCTGCCTCCTGAGTGTTGGGATTAAAGGCATGCTTCACTACACCTGGCTAAGTTTTTTTTTTTTTTTTTTTCTAATATATGGTCTTCTTAGCTATTCAAGCTGACTTGGAACTTACTCTATAGCCCCGGCTGTCCTGGTACCTGTGATTTCTTGCCTGACTCCTGAGTGCTGGGATTGCAAACGTGTGCCTTCACACCTATGCATGCCATCACACCAGGCTCCATTACTGATTTTACTTACCCTTATTAACAGCAATACACACAGCTGAGTGTTTACTTGGAGCTACTACCTGGGAGAACCAACTTAGGGAAGAGGAGTTTGTTGGTAAGAGACCTCCAAGCATACTGTATCCCCTAAGTGAAAGAAAAAAAACCCTCCTACTACTCCCAGGGGACCCAGAGAGAAGCAGAGCAGGGAAAACAGTAGCAAGGTTGGTTTTCCACACCAGGTTTTGAAGAAGGAAGTTGCCTTTTCTTACTCCACTACTAAAAACATGAATGACAGGCTTATTTCCAGACAAAACAGGAAATATATTAAATAATTTCTAGAAGAAAATCTCCTTCAATGAAATTTAACATTTTAATTAATGTGCTATAAACCAAACACTGATAACCATACACAAATATGCTTGCTATGATAAACTAAGCCTTTGAATTATACTGTCAAATACAACTTCAGAACTCGCTGCAACAAAACACCCAGTTATTGCTATCTTGAGAAACAGTCTTATTTCCTTTGGCTTACAACCTGCAAAGCTGAATATGATTATTAAATAATCCACCATCTATCCTAGAAGGCTACAGAAAATTGAACCACTCACTGTTAGGATTTAAGAATACAGCTTTAATTTCTTGGTCACTTTTGATCATATAAATATATAAATCTTAAGAAGGTAACACTGTAATTAACTGTAATAAAGGCCATAAAAATAACAGCTCTGCCATATTGCACAGATAAATTAATTCAGTTGGCTTCCCCAGCCCCCCACCAAACAACTTCCGGATCAGAACTGGAAGACACGGGGATCTACACTCTCGACATTGAATATTGACAATATCAAGTCGTTTACAGAAAATAAACTTTTAACAGTTCACATCCTGACATCGTAAGGCAGGATCTCTTAACACTCGGAACAAGAGTCTCCTTGGAGTCCTCCTGCGGTAGAGGTGCAAGCTCAGAGCTGCGGTCTGTCATCGCAGCTGGGGAAGTGGTCCTCGGTCCGAAACAGGACCGGCGGCTCGTAGGCAGCGCGCTGGGGCCCGGTGGGCGCCGACTTGAAGAGAGCGGGAACACTGATGGTGTGCAACAGCCTCCGGAAAGCCCGAGGGAAGGTCCCCAGCTCGGCTTCGGCCTTGGTGACCTGCTCCTCCAACCTGGCCACGCTGCAGCCGATCATCCTCACGAAGGCCTCGAGCTTGTCGATCCTGCCGTAGATACGCCTCATCTCCGCCGCTTTGGCGTGAATCTGCGGCACGCCCTCGCTCACCACGTGGGACGAGTCTCCGCGAATCATGTCCAGCATGCCCACGAACTCGTCCACCCTGGCCAGCAGCTCCTCCAGGCTGGCGTCCAGAGCCTCCACCTCGGGCCGCGGGCCCGTGGCGGGCAGCAGGCTGGAGGCGTAGCCCAAGGCGGCGCGGCGCAGCAGCGGCAGGTCGCGGCCCGGAGCGTCCTCGGGGCCGTCATCTTCCCACGGCCCCGACGCGCTGCTGTGGCTCTGCGATACGTGGCCGCTGTCCCCGCTCCACGCAGCACCCACCGGCTCAGCCTCCTCAGTCGAGGCCTCTCGCGGGAGGGTTCCGCCGGCGGGTCTGTCCTCCATGGCCCACTCAGCCGCTTCCGGCGCTACGAGATTACGTCACGTTCCCGCGCTCACTGCTTCCGGCGCCGCCTGAATGCGTCGTGCTCTTTACAGCCGGATAATCTCCTGCACAGATTCCCAGGGTGCCCAATCGGCTACCGTCCTTGCCTGAGCATTAGTTTTGTGTGCCCGTCCTGTTTCCACATGTTAATATTCCAAAAAGGATGACGATTAGATGATAGATAGGAATACATAATAGATAGATGATAAATAGATTAAAGGCTATATGCCTTTAATCTCAGCATTCCGGAGACAGAGGCAGACAGATCTCTTGAGTTCAAGGCCAGCCTGGCCAGTTTCAGGCTAGCCAGGGCTGCATAGTGAGACCTGGTCTCAAACAAACCAACAAACCAATAGATGATTGGTAGGTAGATAGATGGTAAATTGATAGATGATAGTGTAAGAGGAATACAATAAAGCAGATCTAAAGATGTCCATGTCCCTCTTGCATATCCTCATAGCCAGGTTACCTCTGTCTGTTCACCTGCCCTATGGCCAGTGAGGCTAAGCTTCTGCAGATGGTTTGATATTACAAAGACCTGCCTGGGGAGTCAAACTCCAGGCGTTTTAGCTCAAGGTGTTTGTGCAAACAAAACATTTCTCATTTTTATTATTCAATCAAAAACATGAGGTGACATTTATAATTAAGCAAATACAAGTACAGCAAGGAAATACAACTGGTGTCATTATCTTCTTTGGTCTTGTGAAAAGAGTCAAGAATATTCCTCCCAGGCCTTTGCCTTACCACATAGATAATTTGAATATGCCAGGGCTTTCCCTTCATATCCTTGCTTCCAAGTGTATTCACTTATTATAGTTTATGTGATTCTTTCTAGAAGTCCATCTTGTGGGAAGAACATTCTGCACTCTGCCCCACCCATAGTTCACAGTAAGTTCACAGCTTCCTTACACAGCTCCCACATCCATCCATTGTGTAGGACCCACCAGCACCCATGCAAGGTTCCTGCCTGCTTCTTTTCCTTTACCAGTGATAGTAAAATAAACTGTAAGCAAAACAAGGAAGGCGGAACACAAAATCATCCTAATGATGTGTTCATCTCAGCCTCTTTACAAAAGAAATAATAGTTTCCAAGCATGGATTACATCAAGGTGTTGTGGGGGGGGCACAAGATGGGAGTAAAATCCTTAAAATTCTTAGAAACATCGAAGGTGGCATCTCCTAGTACCATGCAGTCTGGTAGGTCCTATTCTTCAGCAATGTCATCTGAACACAGGCCTAAGGCAACAATTGAGAAAGTGGGGAACAACTGAGAAAGGCTTGGGCTGTTTACTATCGATGCACATGCACAGGCAGGCACCCCCACACAGTGCAAAAGACGAGGTGGTGGAAACAGAGTCAGGGTTTGTTAGGTGTCCAACACATACTCTTCATGGGTAAAGTTTACGTGAGCTCTTTCTGTAGAATATTATTTTAAGATGTGTTACATTTGTTTATGCCGTGGAACATTTGTTTAATGATGCAAAGATGTGTTGCATTCTTTTGTATTGCATTTATTTAACTCAGTGAAGCTGTGTTACTTTGCCTGTCTAAAACATCTGATGATCTAATAAAAAGCTGAATGGCCAATAGCGAGGTAGGAGAAAGGATAGGTGGGGCTGTCAAGTAGAGAGAATAAATGGAAGGAGACATCTGGGAGGAGAGGATCTAGGAGAGAGAGAAGGAGGAGGATGCAAAGGGCCAGCCACCCATCTACACAACCAGCAATGGCGTAAGAAAGAAAAGATACATAGAAATAGAGAAAGGTAAAAGCCCAGAGAGGCAAAAGGTAGACAGGATAATTTAAGGAAAGCTGGCAAGAAACAAGCCAAGCTAAGGCTGGGCATTTTTAATTAAGAATAAGCCTCCATGTGTGATTTATTTAGAAGCTGGATGGTGGGCCCCCAAAAGAGCTAAGAGCAAAAGAATAAAAAACAACCAACAACATCTTTCCCCACTGGAAATTAGGAATTAGAGAAAAACAAAGATAGCTTTGAGCAACAAAATAGAGAAAACTACAAGCTGTTTCAATTCTTCACCATGTCAGTCCTCTGTGCTGGCTGACCCGAGTCCATCACTGTGAACCTAAAACAACCAGGAGTAACTTGCCATGCACACCGTGAGCAGTCAGCCTTTCATATCCAGGGGTTTAAAAAGAAATGTTAACCACTTCTGGGAATGCTACTTCCTTAATCCAGGGTCCTCTGATGTACTTGCCTTCTAGAAACATCTGGAAAGCCTTAGTAACAGCCTCTCTCTGCCTTTATTCTTGCATATTTCTCTTTCCTACATTCACACTCTCCTCTGTTTTGCTGCGTGGTCTCGGTTTTCTTCAGTTTTCCAACATGCTATGCTTAGGCAGGCATACCTTCGGCGACTGTCCTATTGGAAATGGCATTATGTTCCACTGGGTAGTTTTGCAATCTTCCTTATGGTGTCTGCATGGTGACTTTGATATAAACATGGATCTTAAATGCATTTGGATCTTCAAAGGTAACTTTCTTGTTTCAGAGGAGATATTCTTGTCACTTGGCTGTGTTTTGAAGAGTGAAACATGGCTGTGTATTTTGCTGCTATCTGTGTGACCTGATTGTTTTCTGGCACCTTGCAGCCTGTGGAAAATTATGGTCAAAATCTACAAGGGTTGGTATAGTTCAAGGCATCACTAAACTGTACTGTAGCTCGTGAAGACTATGGGGATAGGATTCCTTTGCACAAACTGGAGGATTCAGAAAATGGATGACTTTGTCTGTACTTTGGAACTTCAGCTCCTCTGGGAGACGAAGGAGGAGAGCTATGTGTTGTGTCACATTGTCTGATGCGTGTTGTGTAACTTCAGGTTAATTTTTAAAAGTCTATCTGATACTGTATGGTAATGAAGTTTGAACAGAGAGTAAGAAGTGCACGGTACTGTCATAAGGTCCTCACCATCACAGGCACTTCAGAGATGCTGGAGAAAGGGGGAAACATTATCAGGACCCAGGCAGCAGCTCTGGCAGGCATTCAAGGTAAACCAAACACTCACTGAGCATTCATTTGCCTTTGCCGCAAAAGATTCATCTAGAAAGCTGAGTTTTGTTTCTGTTTTTTTTAATGGTGTTTTTGTTTTTTGTCTTTTGTTTATTTACTTAAAGAATGGTGGAAATGGAGAGATGGTTTAGTAGTTAAAATCACAGGCTGTTTTCTCTCTCTAAGGAACTGAGCTTGGTTCCCAGCACCTATATCGGGCAGCTGACAACTGCCTATAACTCCAGCCCTAGGGGATTAGATGCCCTCTTCTGGCCTCTATGGGCTCCTATACACAAGCGGAATACACTACTGACACTCGAACATAACATATACAATGATAATAATCTTTTTTAGAAAAAGAATAGTGAATTTTTTGCTCAGATATCAGAAGTCTCTGTGGGTGTTAATAAACAAGTCATAAGTGAATCATTAAAAAAAATGATGTTCTCCCTTGAGGCCTTGATGTCAAGCAGAATGAACTTTGTGTAGCTTGCAAGGTTCCCAGTAAGTACTGTGGGGGACAATGGTTCCTGGAGTCATGACGAGTGGCAGAATAGGGTGCACTCCACTGCACCCTGGCCTCATGATAATGGCTTTGTGTTCTCCAACGGACAGGTACTGCTGGGGCCATTGACACTTTTGACACTTTCTGGTTACCTGGGGAGTGAGAACCACGCCTATAGTTCACAAAGCTTATTCAAGTTCAGTTTAGGGGTTAGTGGAAGAATAAGAGACAGGGAACTGTTTCAGTTATGTTTCTATAGCTGCAACAAAACACCATCACCAAAGAGCAAGTTGGGGAGAAAAGGGATTTTGACTTACACTTCTGTATTGCTGTTCATTAGTGAAGGAAGTCAGGACAGGCTCTCAAACAGGGCAGGATCCTGGAGGAGTGCTGCTTTCTGGGTTGGTTCCCATGGCTTGTTCAGCCTACTTTCTTTTTTTTTTTTTGGTTTTTCGAGACAGGGTTTCTCTGTGTAGCTTTGCGCCTTACCTGGAACTCACTTGGTAGCCCAGGCTGGCCTCAAACTCACAGAGATCCGCCTGGCTCTGCCTCCCGAGTGCTGGGATTAAAGGCGTGCGCCAGCACCGCCCAGCTCAGCCTACTTTCTTAAGAACCCAGGACCACTAGCCCATGGATGGCACCACCCACCATGGCCTGGGCCCTCCCCCGTTGATCACTAATTGAGAAAATGCCTTACAGCTGGATCTCGTAGAAGCATTTCCCCAACTGAGGCTCCTTCTTCCTCTCTGGCTTGTGTCAAGTTAACACACAACACCAGCTGGTACAGGAGCCACACAGAAGTGGGAAACACGCCTGACCTGAGCAGAGTGGGAAGGTCCAGCTGGGCTTTCCTGAAACTGATTTGGTGTCTGCCTCTGTCAGTCAAAAGAGTACTGTAACCACTCACCCTAAAGTCTTGGTGGTTTATTTCCCATTATGTTGATGTTCATTACAAGCCAACCTCTCTGTGCCTCTTAACTTCAGGGCCTGGATGGCAGAGCATCTGTCTAGGCTATTGTGGATCATTTTGATTTCATTTTTATTATATTTATTTATTTCTGTGCATGTGTACATGAGTGCTATGGTACACACATGGAGAGCAGAAGAAAAGCTCACACCATTCCCAGTTAGCTCTCTCCCTTTTTGCCTCGTGCTTGTGGGTCAGATGTACGCTCTCAGCTACTGCTCCAGCCTGCCTGCTGCCATGCTCCCCAACATGATGGTCATGGAGCATTAGAACTGTGAGTCCCCAGTTAAATGCTTTCTTTTGTAAGTTCCATGATCACGGTGTCCTCTCATGGTGAGGTGAGTTATCCAACAAAGAAAACCACTTGGACACAGGTTCAAGCCAATAGAAACTATTAGCCAGTCAGTGACTATTCTGGGTGTTCAGGAACCAAGTGCAGTCCTCAGACATTTCCAGGGTGATCTTTTAAGCACAAAGACCATATCCTGGGTTGACATACCTCAGTCAGCA